TGAATTTTATTTTAAACATTAATGGTAGAGCTAGCACTTTAGGAAAATTTAACCAGAATAATCCAACTTTTGCCCCATTATCCCAAAATATTCCAACCTTTCGATTAACCCTGCATAAACCTAAGTTTACTACTTATTCTCTCTTAGCAACCCCAGCCGATCATCCCACCCATAATCACCGGTTACCAATCCATGTGTCAATTATTAATTGGTTAATTTTTTTAATTTAGAAAATTAAAATTAAAATTAAAACTAAAATTAAAAAAATTCCTCCTCTTCCTCTTTTCCTCTTTCTGCTTCTTTCTCTATCCTTTACGTCCATGATATTCCTCCATAACCACCTCACCTCCTTCTCACCCTCCTACAATAACTCACACCAACATGATATCACCACCACCATGAATCACAAACCATCATCATCACGAACCACTGCAAACCACTCGCTCACCACTACTCACCACTTCCCACAAATCTCACCACCCCCTTTACGATGAACCACCACAACACACACTCTAAATCACCCACAAATTTAAAAATCCAAACTAACAAGGGTTGACAATGGGTTAGTGGTGGTTGTTTCAAGGAGGAAAGAGAAATTGAATTGAGAGAGAAGAGGATGTAAGGTTTTGGGAAATGGATGGGTGGTGGTTTCGGTGGTGGGGGTGGGAGGGAGTGATGGTTTCGGGGATAGGTGGGAGGAGGGGTACGGTGGAAGGGAGGGAATGGTGGGGTTGCACCACTGCGGGGGTTGCACGGAGGAGTGGTAGGTCACTGGTGGTTGGTGGGGGAGGGGTGGGGGGAGCGGCGGTAGGGGAAGGTGGGTGGGTGGAGTTGTTGTGGGGTGGTGGTGCTTAAAGGATGGTGGGTTGGGGCTCTCATGATAAATCCATCCTCCGTTGATGTCAGTTAGAGGTCTTAGAACTAAGGAGGAAAGATAAGAGAAAAAAGGGGGAAAAAAAAATTAATGTTAACTTATTCAGTCGGTTACCAGTAAAATAGGTTTGCTAGAAGAGAATAATAGTAAACTTAGGATTATTCAGAGTTAATCGAAAGGTTGAATTATTTTGAGAGAATGGGGCAAAGGTTGGATCATTCGTATTAAATTTTCTAGCACTTTACAAGTAGTTTCAAATTCAATTATGTTATTATTCTAAATTCATAACAAAAAAATAAAAATAAAAACACATCTATATACAATTTTATAATTTCTTTAACAATTTCATTTGCATGCCCGGGTGTACAATAAAATAATGTAAATCCGGTTATCAGCATGTGTAAGCTTTAATTTATTTATTTTTTTCACGAAAACGCACTAACTTCAAACCAAAACTTCAGAGCTCGAGATCCGCCATCAACAAAGGAGAGAGAAAGTAAAAAGTGCGAACTTCTAACATTCAATATTCAATCAACAATGGCAAATTCATCAAACTACCACTTCTCAAATCGTGAAAACCTTATTCATGGTTTTCTAACAAACACAGACAAATTCAAGCTCCAAATCTTGAAATTCGAGCACTTCTTCTAGAATCGACCTAGATAAATTAAAACAATTATAGAGGATGAAGTACCAAATTTTGAAATGAAACACTGATTTTTAGAGATGAAGTACCGAATATTGGAGATGAAACACTGAATTTTGATGATGGCCAAAATAAATAAAAATAAATTTTAAGGTAATCAAATACTTGTATAAAGTTACCCCATAAGAAACACAAAGTTACCCCTTTGTAATATAAAGTTACCCTATAATAAACATAATAATTACCCCATAATAAACACAAAGTTACCCCTTTGTACATATAAAGTTATCCCATAATAAACACAAAGTTACCCATTTGTACATATAACACTACCCCATAATAAACACAAAAAAATCACAAAAGTTACTCTTAAATTTACAGAAATTACCCATAATCTTGCTAAAGTTACCCATAATCTAACAAACGTTGACGTTTAAAAACATAGAAAAATCAACAAAATAAACACAAAAGGATAAAATAAAAAAATTTCATCACAAATTCAATAAATTATATACTCTATTTCTCTATTGAATAGTAGAAAGAGCAATTATCTTCTCCTTTTCTTCCTAAGTTTAACCTTCACCATTTTAATCGAAAACTGAAAAAAAAAAAACAAATATAATAAAAAATAAACATTAAGTTAAAAATTAAAAAAATGTAGATGTGAACAAACCTCAAATTTGGTTGTAGAAAAACACAATAAATTGAAAAAATAAACATGAAAACCGAAAGGATATAACAAATGGATGAGATAAAAAACTTGAAATACCAAAAAAATGGAAGAGAGAAAGTCTGAGCGGTGGAGAGGAAAGAGAGAAAAAAAAAGAGGAGAGAGAAATTAAAGGTTTTGAAAGTGAAATTGAGGATTGGGTGGGTGGGTGTGATGTCAGGTGTGACACGTGTGAAGAGTAACTCAAGCAAGTAAAACTTTCCTTTTCTTCCCGCCATTCAATAAAATACTATACACCAAACTTTTTTAAAATATTTGTGATTCCTTAAAATCGAAAACTTATCCATATTACTCCCTCCGTTAACGGTTAGTTGCAACAAATACTATAAATAGGTGCTACCTATTAGTTGCAACAAATTTTTTTTTTCCTTTATAGGTAACTTTTTTATTGGTAAAGTTACCATCATACTCTTATTAAAATCTGATTATACACTAACCTCATTTTTTATAAAATCAAAAAACCTTATTATCTAAAGATCTAAGCTAATGATTCCCACCCAAATCAACCCTTTTCTAGATCTTTCTTCTCAGTCATTCATCACACCCTCCTTTCATCTTCTCCTCACTGAGTTTGCCTTTCACCTACCTCCATTAATAAGGCTCTTCAAACCCTCATCAATTACAGATTTCACGTCATTCAATTGTTTTCTTTGGTTCTTGTGCACCTCAGTCAATTGATCCCTCACCTACCTCCTACCTCCATTAATGAGGTTGTTCTTTGAATTAAATCCGGAAGTCATTCCAGATTGCAACACTGTCGCTCTTCTGTTGTTTATTTTACCACACAATCGTTATTTCCCTCTGACTGTCTAGTTCACCTCACTCTCTCTCTCTTCGTTCAAACCCTAATTCCTCCAGATCTGGTTTACCCGGTATTTTCTCTGAAAAAACCCAAAAAATGAGTTCCCCAAATGAGAAGAAGCCAGATGACGACGTTATTGCGACCTACAAATGTCAGCGTCGTACTGGGAAGATGAAGTTGATTGGAACTCGAAGGGTCACCTACCTGGATATGCGCCGTATGTACGGTGTGGGTGCCAAAATTAAGCCTTACTACTCTGATGAGGAAGGTGAGGGGTCTAAGGGTGCAGATCTGGCCAACAAAGATGAGGGTTCGAAGAATAAGCGTCCTGTTGATGTGGTTAGCAGGGACATTGCTGAAAGTGTTTCGGTAGCCCTTATCCCGGAAAACAAAGAAGATCTTGGTAGATTTGGGCCTGCTGGAGTGGTCTCTGACAAGAAGAGGGCTATATCTGGGTCCCCTGTTGGCGATGGTGGTAATGGTGCTGTGAATGACGCTCCTTCTAATTAATCACGCAGCGTAACTCTTTTCTGACCCTTTACAGTTTATACTAGTATTTCGTTCAATGATATGATTCTGTGTATTGGTTGTTGGTTGTGAAAAAAAGCCCCTTGTTGCTATTTCGTGCTGATTGGAAGTAATTTGTGCATGATTTAGTTAATTTCTGGTTTATGAGTATAAAATTTTGGGGGGTTGTTAATTGTGGCCGTCGTTGTTAGTACTTTGTGCATGATTATCCTAATTTGTGGCTTGTTACTACTAAATTGTGGCTTGATGTTGTTAATGATGGGCGTGGTTGTTCCTAATTTGTGGATGAGTATCCTATTTTCTAATTTGTTTTACTAAATTCTGGCGTGGTTGTTAATTGTTGGTGTTGTTGATAGTAATTTGTGGCTAATTACTACTAAATTGTGGCATGATGTTGTTAATGGTTGGCGTGGTTGTTAGTAATTTGTGCATGATTATCCTATTTCTGGCTTGATGTTGTTAATTGTGGGTGTTGTTGTGAGTAATTTGTGGATGATGATCCTAATTTTGAGAGCTTATGATTACTAAATTCTGGCTTCAGTGTAATTGTGACATTTTTTTCACAATGTGATTAATTCTGAATGTTGGCAATCTGTTAGCTTGAGTTTGGGAATTATTCTATTGTATCAGCTTCTGTTGGGTCCTTCTTTTGGGTATGATGTGTCTTGTTGTTGGTATTCTCCGCATGATGTTGTCAATATTAGTCCCTCTATTGTAGCCAGTTGCTTGTGTATGTGAGATAGGATCCTTCAGGTTGTTATCCTATTTGGCACTAATGGCTTTGGGGTTTGTGATCTGATGAATGATGATGACTATGTAGCCTACTTTAAATGGTGATAAATGAGTCCTACTTGACAGACCATGTGTGCATGCATATAAGTTACCTGATGTTGAGTCCCTTCTGTTTTGTGCATTCAGAGAACAATGTAGCCTAAATGTGTGGTCCTACCTGATCTAGGAGTCCCTTGATAGTGTTATTAGGTAGGAAAAATCCAAGTGATGAAGGGACTCAGTTTGAAAAAAAAATTGCATCATTGGAATTGCTCCAACAACTTTAACTAGAAGTTGTTGTTGAGGTAACCAATTATGCACTTTATGTGAAAAACAACACCCATCTGATGGATTTAAAATACTGTTTCTGCCTATGTTTCACAGTTTAATACTACTGTCATTGCTTTTTGTACATAATACCATCACATTTCATATCATATGGTCTTTCAAAAGATTACACATGTTGAACAAAACCTAGTCAAGACTGCCTTACCTAATTGACCTTCAATGTAAACAAAATACACATAACCAATAACACAAATAAAGTTAAAAAATAAAAACCAATAAACACTACCTAGTGGCTTCCTTGATCTTCATTGGTTATGTGTGGCAGTCTCACTGTTACCTTCCTCATTTGTCTTTGCTGTGGTCAGTCTGCATCAACTTCCATTCCATCATCATTGTAATTGCCTTGACCTATTTCTATGAACATACTGTTGAGGTGATCAACAGCTTGATGAACCAAAGTCCTGTCCACATGTAGTATTTCTGGCAACATGCCTATTCTTTCCAGCCTTTTCTTGCCTTTGTGTGGAGGGGTAAAATGATTCCCCCCAAGATGTTTGAGTATTTCTTCCATGCAACATTGCAATGTTATCCAACAATGCTTGTTTGAAATAGGATTAAACAAGTCATAAGCCTCTTTCACTTTCTCAATGAGTTCCATTAAGTTCTTAGGAAATGATTGGTATTGTATGGATTGAATGACATTAAACAACCCCAAATCTAGCAACATTGCCCTGATTGCCTCTTTGTTGACATTTTGTATTGCCTTTGTTTCCACAACACCTGCCTCCCTGTTTTTGCTTTTTTTCTTTGCTGTGGTTTCATACACAAATGGAAAAATTCCATATTTTCCATCATGTAAGACATTTCCTTGGGGGTCAAAAATTGGCTTCCCAATGGCAGCCATAAACATTGCTTTTACCTTGAACCTTTTGGATTGTTGGCACATGTATGGGTTAGGCTCATTGGGCAGGAGGTAGAACCTCCTGGTGTCTGGGTTCAAGTAGAACCATTTTTCATCAATATGCACTACTTGCTGCATATCCAGAAACTGTGGGTCCCTATTATCTTCAGCTGGCAGTAGATGGCTTAACACCCATTTTAGTCTTGTTATCTTGTGGTTGGATGTCAGTGCAGGGCGATTTGTGCTTGTATGTGTTCTGAGTCTTCCTTTTTTCTTTAACTTGTGGATGGTGACATGTGATATTTTGAGAGTTGCTCCATAGCTTCTCTCAGTCACCCTCTTGTACAATGGGGCTGATTGCAGGAACTCATCTGTGTATTCTATTGGTTTGGGTCCAGTTTTGCCCAACTTCTTGCTTCTGACATCTATCACATTCCCCACTGCCATTTGTGTCTTAATGTCTTTGATTAGTCTGTGAATAGTTGACCTGTGTACCTGAAACTTGATTTCTTGCTTTGTTAAAACTCCTCTTGGTATTTCCCCACACTGATGTTGTAATAAAAAATCATCAACAATCTGTCTCTTCTGGGATACAGTCAGCTCTTTCTTGGCTCTGGGATTGCCATTTGTTTCTTGTTGTTGTTGACTATGTTGATTGTTGTGAGTTCCTTCATTGCTTGCATATTGGTCTTCCATGTTGTCTTCATCGTTGAGTATTTGGGTCAATGCTGAAATAAGCATCATTGAAATTGTCTGCCATGCTTGATAAACTAATGACCCTGAGTTCCACAGATTTAGGAACTGGTAATGAAGTTGGTGGCTGTTTTTTTTTGGGCTTTGCTGTGCTGAACCAGAACAATTCAAAGGAAGATGCTGCTTCTAACGTAGGATTAATTAGGCGTAAGATGGTAGCCTGATTTTCTAAACAATTGCTGTAATGAGGATTTCTGACTTTTGGATTGTAAATTTCTACTTGTACTGTGGATTTAAGGCAGATTGTTTGTTAAATACCCTGACTTGATTGGAAAAGTCAAGTTGGGGGAAAAATTTGATGTTTCATAAGCTGTTATATTCTGGTGGCAGGGTCTTTAAGTACTCTTCCAAGAGTGCTGATTTGAAATGGAGGGAAAAAATTTGGGGAAAAAAAAAACAGACTGAAATGTTTGGAGGGAAAAATTTTGAGTTGAAAATAGAGTTAATTGTTTGGTGGGAAAAAAGGGAGGTAAAAATTTAGGGGCTGAAATTTTTACCCCTCTTATTTCACCCTCCCTATAAATTCAGATTCTCTCTCCTCCTTTTAAAAAAAAAACCGGGTTCCCACTATAATTTTCAGATTCTCCCTCCTTTTTTATTCCCCTAATCACATGCCCCTCATTACACTTATAATATCCTAAACACTCTCTAAAAGTTTTGACTTGGTTTCCGCAACAAGTACACTTGTTGCAATTAATCATTAACGGAGGTAGTATATATTATTGCCCGTATGTTATATACATATATATATATATATAAGACATAAATATATATACTTTTAATTGATGCCTTTTTTATATTAAGTAATTTAAGTTTAAATTATTATTTTTTTATCGTTTAAACGATTGTATAAAAAAGGTTAATTGGCTATATTGCTTTATATTTGGCTCTACCCTTACTACCCATGAGTGTCAATACTCCTCTCTTTGATCCATAGAACTAGTTTTCCAATTGAGATATGAACTCAAGCTGCAAATACTGGCAGTATGCTGCATGTACTATGTATGACAACCATAATTCCATGTATACTAGAGTAGTAGATCCAACTTCCTACAAGACATTATAATTTGAGCTTGTAATATGACAACTATTTCACTACCACAGTTGTATAGGTACCATAATTTAATTGTACATTTCTTTAATAACTCTGTAAGTACCAATTACTCACAACCTTCAAGCCGGTGTAAAATCACATGAGCACCATGTTGGGGCTGAAGAGTTATAACGGTGGAAGGAGCATGGGTATAGGACGGTGACAGCTCAAAAGTGAAGCGCTGCAAAATCATGGACAGTGCCATTTTAGCCTCTGCAATTGCAAAGTTTTGCCCGATACAGATTCGTGGGCCCCAGCCAAAGGGAAAGAATGAAATATTCCCCTTGGTTGCCTTCGCAATCCCTTCTGAAAACCTTTCTGGTTTAAATTCATTCGCATCATCTCCCCAAAGTCTGGGATCACGATGCGTGTTGATTATTGAAAGACTAATCATAGCACCACGAGGGACCAATATGTTTCCAAGTTTCATGTCACCTTGATATATCCTACGGGATGTTGAAGTCACAGGAGGGTACAATCTCAGCACCTCATGTAGTATCATAGTCACCTATAACAAAAACAAATATATACAATTAACTCGCAGAGGAAAATAATAATAATAATAATAATAATAATAATAATAATAATAATAATAATAATGCATCTTTTTAGTTTAAAAAACTGATAAATGTTCCTGAAATTAGCTCATCTTCTCTTAAGGAAGAGAATCCCAATAGCAGATCATGAAATATTTGTTAGGCGTCTTCTCAAACTTGAATTGGCGGAGGATCAATCAAGTTTTGATCAAGTTGTTTCATTCAAACACAAGTGACTATAAACTATTTAAAGAAGTACTGCCTAAGGTTGAGATAGTTAACAATTAAAAATAGGTTAGAACTTAGAAGAAGATCAGAATATTCCATCCTTTTATTTTATTTTATTGGATTCAGCTCTAAGTATTTGAAGTTTTCAACCCCTTAGAGGAATTTAACAGAGATGAAGAGATGAAGTTAAAAGCACTTACTATCTTTAAATGGTTTAAGCCGTCAAAGTCTGGTTGATTCTTTCCAAATGTTGCCTGCACTTCTTCTCTTGCTCGTGTTTGCCAGTCTTGATGCTTGCTCAACAATATCATTGTCCATACCAGCAAGACCGAGGTGGTCTCTTGGCCAGCAAAGTAGAAGAGTTTGCACTCATCGATCATATCCTGAAGACTCATAGCTTGCTGTTGCTTTTGACTTCCAACACTTTGAGTTTGAGACGCTTTAGAGTTGGAATCCATCAATATTCCCAATAAGTCATCCTTAGGAGCTTCACCTGCCTCCATTGCCTTCTTCCTCTTGTTGATTATTCCCATCAATAAATTTTGTATATCAGAGTTTATTTGTTTCATCTTCCTGTTGGTCTTTGTTGGCACATACCTAAGATGGGTTGAATTTTCAATGCTATGCACCAATATGCAAAAAATTCCAAGTGCAATAAAGCTTAAGTTTAACTTACCTCCATCCAGGGATATAAACTGACTGAAAAAGGCGTATAGTAATTTGTGTCTGTTCCTTTAAAAGTTCAAATATCCTTCTTCCTTCCTTATAGCTACTGCCAAATGCAGCTCGAGATATAACATCTGCAGATAGGCTGGTAAGGAATGGCCACACATCTACCTCAGAGGAACCTATTTCAGATACTAACTTCTCCCATTCGCTGACCATTTCAATAACACTGTCCCCAAACGCTGGAAGCATAAGCTACATACAAAAATGAAAGTAAATTGCAGTGAGTTGTTACCAATATTATCAAAATCTTTTTATGTGGTGTTTTTAGAAAATCATTATGCTAAATTGTATACTATTAATGCAATGGTCAATTATATACCTTAAGCTTTTCCATATGAAAAGCCGGGTTGATCAGCTTCCTGTGTTTTGCCCAATTTTCACCCTCATAGCCTACCAGTCCAGGAACAAGCAACCCAACAAGTGGGTTCAATTTTGCCTTTTGAAACTCATTCATCCTAGTGAAGGCATCCCTTATAAGCGCAGGTTCTGCAATATTTATATCCGGTATGGGCCCTAGCCATGTCCAAAAATTTTCACCTGCAATTATCCCCATATTTAAGTCGAATATAACAGGATTTCCAAAATTTGCAATGAAATTCTTACTTTGAGGAACACCAGGACATAACTGATAGTCCTCATAATCAGAAAAGATGCATACAGACTGAAATAATTGAATAATACTATAAGACACACACTACGTATAAACCAATTAGAAGTTATACCCTTCAAAACGGAAGGTTGTACTCAGATCCTTGGCAATAGCCAATATATTATCTTTTAAAGTTGATATAATCCAAATTAGACTTATTATTCCATTGTCATTGCATTTCCTCCACCATTGTTAACAATTTCAGATAGAATGTTCTTTGTCCCGCCATATGAATTTTGATAAGGGAAATAAACTTCCATACACTTCATTTCTCTTACCCATTTCATATCTAAACAATGTAAAAGTGAACCACCCAGTCTCCTTTCCCTTCGTTTGTTCCATCATTCCTACTTCCAAACACACCATACTAAGCTAATTTTTTATTTATTTATTTTTTTATTTTTTATTATTATTTTTTTTTTACAAACACCATAATGTATTGCATTTCTCGCATTATTGTGCTACCTTCGTCCCACAATATCTTACTCGATTCATTGGACATGTTGGCCAACACATAACTTAACTATATCTATATCATCAATTATCATTACCAAAAACTGATATGTTTAAAATAAATACAAAGACTAGTCCTAGTATAATTATATCATTTCATATATATATTAGAAAACATGTGATCAAAATTAGCATATAAATAATGAAAAAAAATCAAGATAGTATACATGCAAAATTTCTTCTTTAATGACGACGTATGAATGTCTTTGTTTGATATTTTTTACCCTATATATCAAATAGACTAGGCAAACTCAAACTCTTGAAATAATTTTTACATTTGATGTTGGTTCATTTACCTTTTTAAGGTTCATAAATACAATGTACTTGTACAAGTATTTGCCCAATATATGTATCTTCATTTGAAGATTATCTTTTTTTTTTTTTCATTCGAAGATTATCAAATCAACGAAATATGATCAAATATCAATAATTGCTACATTATCAATAATTGCTCTAGGCCAAGACCAATTATTGAGAATTTAGTTAATATTCAACTTGTGCACATATATTTTGGAAAAGTTAGAGCAATTTGCTAGTTCGTACTTTCAGTCAATTTTTTAAGTCAATTATTGTAACCACTTTGCCATGACCAATTCCACTACTCTATAGTGGTACTCTTCTTTTACTAAATAGTCGCATTGTAGACAAGATTTTATCTCAAATTTACGTACCACTTCAAGAACATATAATCTTTTTTTTTTTTTTTATTTCTTTTTTGAATAGGTGAACATATAACCAAATAAACTAGTTAGGACCCATCAATAATCTGATTAAAAAAAAAAAAGAAACAAAAAAAAATCAATAGCACTTATTTAAAAAAAAAAAAAAAAGGCAAACAAAATAAATGATTAAGCGACAAAATCGGTACCTAAAACAGAGAAAAGCGCGCAATCAATAATTTATTTCTGGAATTAGAATAGACTAAAAAAAGAAGAAAAAAAATAATAACTAACCATATTTTTTGATATGTTGTTGAAGAAATGGCAAAACACGATCAACATAATCATGAGTAAAAGGAATAGGTTTTTCTCTTGCTTCTTGACGCATTCTGAAGGTTTCTTTTAAATCACCATACAAAAATTTGTATGAATTTCCTTTCAAACCCTGTTTTCTGAGACACTTTTCCATCTTTTTTGGATTAAACCATACCCAATTTAATGTTTTCCAAACCCATGTTAGAATTACAATACCAAAAATTGCTATTAAAATATACCCGATTTTCATTTTTGATGAATTTTTCTTTTCAAATTCTAAGGGAAAATGGAGTAAGATTGTAGAGGTTTTATATAAAGTGGAGGTGGAGGATAGAATGGTGGTAAACGTGTTAATGGATGGACCACTAGGAATATCTTGGGCTTTTTTTTTAATGTGATGACTCCACCTTGTTGTTTCCCTTGTACTTAGTTTTATATTGGATGATGGAAGTCAAAATGAATAGTCAATGTTTATTTAATATGCTAATATGTTTAGTTTATTTATCTTAGCTTATTTTATGATTCTGTCAAATTATATTCGAATATATATCCTGCTAAGTATGCTAACCTATTCGTATATTCTGCTATAAGCATGTTTATGTTTTTATTATTCTTTAAATAACTGATTTTATCTTTATGTTTCTAAGATAATATTTTCTGTCAAATGTATTTATTTATCTAGCTTATTATTTATCTTATTTGGTTGTTGAATTTTTCTGAATATGATAAGATTTCTGTTTAAGATAAATATTGTTGTTACTTGTGCTTGCTGACCTGGTTTTTAGGAAGCTAAGTATGCTGTAACAGATTTCTAGCTGGAAGATAAACGTTGAATTTAAAAGCAGCTTTGAAGTTTGAATTTGAAAGCTTCGAAATTTCTGGAGTTTGTTGAAGACCCAGAGACTGCTGGCAACGTTTTAAAGTCAGCTTCAAAGCCTTATAAATAGCATGAAGATCAGCCAGTTTCATTATCCAAGTTTTTCAAGAAGTCTTGTGCTATTCTAAGAGCTTTAATTCTCTCATTGTTTACTACTTTTCATTACCTAAAAGTGAGGGAAAAATACGAGTGTTCACTTGTGCTAAACTTTGTAATACTTGAGTGATACACTTCGTAGTAAAATTATAATACTCGAAGTTGTTTGAGTGTGTTAGCTTTTATTTCTAAGATTTGAGTGTTTAAGGTGTAGTGGGAAGTACTACGGAGAGAAGATAGTGAGATCTTTTAGGTTGCTTTAGAACTCTAAGGGAAGAAATAAAAGTTGGTTAAAATCCTACGGGTTGGACAACCCTAGGCGGAGACGTAGGCCTTTGTGCTGAACTTCGTAACAATTCCTTGTGTTTATTTCTGTTTTTATTTTTGCCTTATTCTTGCTTTCGTTCTTTGTTTTAAACATTTTTAACAAAATCCAAAACAAACGTTTATAACCTTCTGCTTACTAACTGTTTTACTTTAAATAGTTTTCAAAGTCTTGATTTGTAAAACAGAGATCAGTTTATTCCGCCCTGTAACTGATCTCAAGGCCTTGACATTTTCTGTTTTGCGAAAAACGCCCATACTCTATTCAACCCCCCCTCTAGAGTATTAATATGTTTATTCCATTACCATTGTGATCCTTTCATAATGGTTTTCTGTAATGCAGTTTTAGCCTTAGTTTAATATATACGAGGCTAGATAACCACGAAATTAATATTAAAATATCTTTAATTATGCAAAATGTAAGTGGAGTGGAGGACTGGAGGTACTAGGTAGAGGCAGAGGTCTCTAGTCTCTAATGTTTATTTATCCGGACGATTAAGATAATGATCGATAAATTTAGATAAGATAAATATGAATTTAATAAATTCGATTTAATTAGTATAAAATAAGATATTTTGAATTGCAAGTGAAAAATACACTCTGTAGTGACAATTACATTTCACCCAAGTGAAGAGTACACTCTAGCAATCACATTTCACCTTAATCAACTTCTCTTTTTCCTTTTTAATCAGTCAAATCTCATTATCTTAATTAACCCTATATTCATTTTTAATCAACTAAATCCACTATCTTAAGTAGATAGATTAATCTATAATATACATGGAGTACTAAAATGAAACTTTTTGCAGAGAGCCTAAATCCATACAAGCAAGCTTTTTAACTTAATTGTTTAGTTTTTCTTCAATAATTTCCTCAGATTTTTTTAATTTTAACCATCTATTACATTTCAATAATTTAATACATCAAATTGTGATTCGAGTATTAAAAATGGTATTGCTCTCTTTTAGTTTTTAATTATATATATTGAATTATACTTATGAAACACGTAGTATATTTTAAGATAATTTTTTTAAAGAAATGCAATTGATGACCAATTTATATTGATAAAATTTTATTAACCATGTATTGTTTCAATTTTAAAATCTAGATGGTTTGGCATTAATTAGTCGATTGTGCTATAGTAGAAACTCTAGAAAGGATCTACAAGAAAATTCTAAATGGCAGAAAAGGAAAATCCGTCACTTCAAAAGAAATTTTTAAAAAATATAGTATGTATATACAACGAAGTATGGAAAATGTAGCACTTTTAAAAATAATAATCATAGGGAGTAAAATGTATCACTTAAAATAAAATAAAAAGAAAAAAGAAAAAAGCAGTAAGGGAGTATTGTAAAAATATTTTGCCTTTTTTTCCTCTCTTTTTTAATCAACAAATATCCTATTCTTTTTTTTTTTTTTTTTTTTTTACTACAAAAAATATCCTATTCTTTAGAATCTAAGATAGCAACATGTTATGAAAGAAGGATAAGAAAAGTGATTAGAAAATTGTGCACATGAAAACATGAAGTCACCGATGATGATATGTAAATCTGGCTATATTGCCTATATATGAACACAAGCTGGTATTAGTGGTATGTGATATGTCATGCGTTACGCCACTACCGTGGCTTGTCGTTGATTAAAAGAGCTACTCCATTGACCATTAATGTTGGTCCCTTTTAAATGTTACTCGTACTACACTACTACCCGTACTTAGTTAACTTCTTCCATTTTTTTACTTCCTTGGTTTCCATTAAATTGACACATTGTAATTGGACATAAATTTAAGAAATATTTGAATGGGGTAAATTTATTGAAGTGTTTATAGAAAAGTTAAGTTAGTGAAATATTATTTTATTCATGAAAATAGTGCATGAGTTATTGTAAAGTGAAGTTTGTGAAATATTTAAGTTGGGGTGGGGATTATTATAATACTCCCTCTCCTAAAGGAGGTGGGCAACAGGCTGGGTCGTGCCGCCGCGGGCCTGCCATGGCGGCTAGCCGTGTCGTGCCGACACGCCAGCACGGTTCCGGCGTGCCGTGCCTCTATTTCTACCAGGCCAGCCCACGGCACGGCACGACCTACGTGCCGGGCTAGGCCACGTGCTTGGCACATTGTTCAGAGCTTTTTTTTTTTTTTTAAAAAAAAAAAAATACATATTTTTTTTATAATTAACTAATTAAGTTTACTCCTCATTATTATAAATTATTTAATTGAGTTTACTTCTTATTATTATAAATTAATTAATTAAGTTTATTATTATTTATTAAGATGAAAATTTCAAATCTTAACGGCAAAAAAAAGAGGAAATTGGACTTTGATTCTTTGAATGTGATTAATGCATACTTCATATTATTATTACTTGAAATATTACAAATAAATACATACTTCTTAACGTTGGAAGATATAAATTTCAAAAAAAGAAACTCAAGTATAAATGTTTGATATTAATCTAATAAGTAATAATGATAATGATTTCGTACAAGGATATTATACAAAAATTGTCTATAATTAGAAGTATGTAATCTATATATAGTTCTTCATCTTCTTCTTCTTCTTCGTCTTCGCGTTCAAGGTCATCGGCTAGTTGAATAGATTGGGAACTAGACGAACCCGAACGGTCGGAAGCGGAGGTTCCGTCATCGTTGTCGTTGTCGGAGTAAGTACGGTCTTGTGAGCGATTTTCAGCATCCAACCAATCTTTGAAACACACGCACATTTCAAGTGTTTCGGGTTTTAGACTTGTTCTTCTATCGTCTAAAACTCTCCCGGATGCGCTGAAAGCTCGTTCGGAGGCAACAGAGGAGACTTGGATACTAAGAATGTCTCGTGCTATTGCCGCCAAAGTTGGATGCTTCGAGCTTTGTTGTTTCCACCATACAAGGAGGTTGAGGCTGTTTATCTCATCGTCGTCCATGCCCTTGGTGAAATCGTAACTCAGGTACATTTGCTACTCCGAGACATCGCTTTGCGTTCTCCTTATTGATGAATCACCTGAAAACCTTGAAATCAAGTTAGTAGCTTGTGAAAATAAATGCTTGGCCTTTTTACTTACGTTTTTGGATGGTTGTGAAGGGCTAGAGCGAGGAACGGTGCCATATTTGGTTTCATAAACTCTATATAAAGCAAAAAATTGATCCTTCACATTACTCTTAGGTTTCTACACTATCGTCAATAAGCATGCATTGAAAATAAATGTCAACTAACATAAATGTATTTTCATACTTTTGCCTAGTATCTAATATGGAAGCTGTTTCGGGGTTTTCTGATGTCCTGCGGGAGAGTTACAATTCCGAGACTGGAACCGGACGCCTGTACCTGCAAAATAACGGAGACTCCTGAGAGCTCCGCCTCCAACGGTCAAGTTAGTACCTGATTAAGGAGTAATTAATACAGAAATTAAAGTAATAAGGTCTCTCTAGGTGAGAGTATTTAATGTAGGTAATCTGCTTTGCTAGCGAGATCAGCCGGTTATTAGTGTGTTCTGTAAATTATTCGGTCCCCTGATTAATGAGGATTAATCGAGTATTTATAGCCTTGGGAAGCGTGCAACTCTCTAGGTTTAAGGTAAACCTAGGGCCGAACGGGCTTCTAGACTGAAATGGGCCTTGATGGCCGGTTGTCCCATTTGGCATGGGTGGACACGTGGCGTGTCTTAAGTGGTCCGTGGAGGACGCGTGGCGGAACCTGGTTGGTCCACTTGTCAAACGGCGCTTGGTGGATAAAAATCCCCTAATCATTTGCCCCTCACAGGTGGCACGCGACTGGTCACGTGTCGCCTGTGACAGGTGTCGCACGGTGACAGGCGACGGCCCGTTACAGGTGTCACCTTGCAGACGGCCGGGAGATTCTCCCGCCCAAATTTGAATTCGGAAGCGACCCTTCGCCTTCTCATTTTGCCTATAAAAGGAAGTGCTGACTTCGGTCATTTTCACATTTGAGAATTTTTGCGAGAACATTCGGACCCCTGAACTTGCTCTGACATTTTCGGACTTTTTCTGCCTACCGCCTGTTCTGACAAGCCGACTGACCCGAACTTTCAGGGCTTCATCAACTGTCATCCATTCAGGTAACTCAGTTCTCTTACTCTTAATTTTCTTTTTATTTTTTGAAATGGCACCATGGAAGCACACGACACGCCCTAAGTTAGTGATCAGCCGGTCACCGGGGACGGCTGAATCTAGGACTAGGAGTGCCGCCTGCCCTTTTCTGGAC